TGCAATACAAGGAAGTCTGTATAAGTGATATGCACGTTCATGTAAACAACACGCATGTGATAGCCTAGCATCTCTGGGACGTCTGAAGCTCTCATATCAGCAGGGATTATGAAACGAATCACGAAAACATCGTGGAAGTGCAACAATGATGGTCAATATGGGTGACACGATTTACAGAAAGCTGGATGAGTGACATACGATAACACGATTGATCGAAAATATCTTTGAAGCTGAATGGTTGAGGCACGATTAAATATTGATGGAAAATATCTTGAAAGCTGAACATGGTTGACGTACGATCAACTATGGATAAAAAATTTCTAGGAAACTGAATGATTGACACAAAATTACACGAATAATGAAAAATATCTTGGAAGCCGAATGGTTTACGTACGATTAACTATTGATGGAAAATATCTTCAAATGGGTGAAATGCGATTAGACGATTGATAGGATAAATCTTGGAATCTGAATGGTTGACTACGATTACTAGATTGATAATAAATATCTTGGAAGCTGTATGGATGACATACGATATTTGTTTGGATCGAATGAATTGTATGAATTATCCCCAATCCTTCAGTCAAAGATAACTTATAAAAATACGTAATCACTTGTGAGAGCTACTGATTAGCTAAACTCAAATGGCGAGTGCAATCGTTTAGGGGTTGGCCGGATTATTGTCATGGAAAGTCAAGTTTGAAAATTTAATGTTATTTTAATTCTGAAAAACATATTACTTCTGTGTAATCGTGAATTACATTTTCAAAACAGGAGCAGTGGTTGATAACGTTAAAATCATCTATTCGGGCTAAAGGAGATCCAGAATCTCGTCTGATCAAAATAAAATTTAGCAATTCACTTAAAAAATATAGATTATTATTATTGATTATCATTATTGACTATTATTATTAATTATTATTGCGAATAATAACGCCATAGCAAGATTCTTCTCTCTGTTTTCCACTGCAACAGAGAAGAAATGTACGATAGGGTGACGGTAAAAGGAGAACCAACCATTTTTTAGTTCACTGCTAGCGGATTAATATGCATTGAGAAGAGGTTTCTAAATAATCAAGAAGTGCCTTATAGTGATATGGGGTAGGGCCTTAAGATTCATTGCGATGCGTAAGTTGTCGGACTTGCATTTTGTACAATAAAATTGCACGTAATTGTTCCAAATGTGATTTTTTTGTACAACAAACTATTCGGTTATTCATTCATTATTTGTTTTTATTGGAGTGTTTTTATTTTTGAAAAGATAACAAGGAATACACTCGCAAAATATAATAATGTATTTACGAAAGTTGTTCATTTTATTGTAATTCACAAAATTACTTTGTAAATTTTCAGTAAACTTATCTTTCTTTCAAACAATACAAGAGATAATCTTACATTTTTTACCGAATTCAAGAGCATTTAATAACAGAATTTTAAAATTGATTTTTTCAAAAAGCAATTTTAATAAACATTTTAACAAAGCAACTTTTTAATTTTAGGAATTTTTTGCTTTACACAAAGTCCCAGAAAGGCTGGCACAACCTAATCGTCGGTACAGAACGTAGCTGTAAAATAACAAACAAAACCTTAAGGAAAATCTAGTAAATAATCTTGCAGGTATTAAAATGAATCATCATTACAAACTGAGAACAATTGGCGGCAAATAAAAAAATATAACTCAGTACTCACTGCAGTGAGTGACAGAGAGCGCATTTTCTCGTCGACGAAAACATGAAGTCACGGACGGACAGACGGACATGGCGAGCACAATAGTGCATTTTTTCATAAATGAGAAAATGCTCTAAAATATTAGGTTAATTATAAAATGAATGTGTTTAAACTGATCTTCATGCATGGGATTGCGTGACAATATGTGACAAAGTATCACGCAACGTGAGCGCCGTGACGCGTTATATAAGCAACGCGTGCAGCGCCAGTCATACAGTCACCGGCAACCAGCAACTGCACTAGCATCGGTGTGACGATACTCGATACGATCATAACTACTAGAATCACTTGATAAGTTGATTGCTAAAATCACAATCAGTTTATAACACACGATTCTGATTGTAGTGAGACGCGATACTCGATACGATCATAACTACTAAAATCACTTGACTGCTTAAATCACAATCAGTTTATAACACACGATTCTGATTGTAGTGAGACGCGATACTCGATACGATCATAACTACTAAATCACTTGATTGCTTAAATCACAATCAGTTTATAACACACGATTCTGATTGTAGTGAGACGCGATACTCGATACGATCATAACTACTAAAATCCCTTGATTGCTTAAATTATCAGTTTATAACACACAACTTTGATTGTATTTATTTTCTAGGATTGTAAATTTTAAAATCAAATTAAAGCCTATATATTTTTTATTAATGCGTATGCAGCGAACTTAATGACGATGGAGCTGGACTCCAAAACGTTTTTCTCTATAAATATATGGTGAAATTCAGTGCCACCTTCCTTTTTATTAGATTTCTTTTTCACTTACAATTAAAACTATTCCACCATGCAACCAAAGTCAAAATAACTATTATTTATAGATATTTCTATTAAATCACCTCGTAACCAACGTTGTTTCAACGTCATTTGCCTGGTTACACTGTACAATTCGCGTGTTATCTTATCTACAAGAGTCATCCTATCCTCATTCAGTTAATTGAATTCATAAATCATTACAATTATGGCACTACCATTGCTAAGTATAGAGTTCATCCACGTTTCCTTCAGCACTAATCCGTCATGCAAGTGGTAGTCTGGAGTCAGCGTGGATGATCAGATGGAAGGGTAATATTGAGCTTCATACAAATGCTGGTTTGTGTAGAGAATGAAATTTAGGGAAGCAAATTTAAATCGATTGGCCATAACAATCTCTGCAGAATTTTTTAAATAGTTCTAAAAAAAGAGAATGGAATTTAGGGATGCAAATTTCAATCGATTGGTCATAACAATCTCTGCTGAACTTTATGAATAGTTCTAAAAAAAGAGAATGGAATTTAGGGATGCAAATTTCAATCGATTGGTCATAACAATATCTGCAGAATTTTATGAATAGTTCTAAAAAAAGAGAATGGAATTTAGGGATGCAAATTTCAATCGATTGGTCATAACTATCTCTGCAGAATTTTAAGAATAGCTCTAACAATTATATTAAAACATGTATCTATCAAAAGTTTTTCTTAAATGAAAAATATTCAAGTTAAGTTATAAATGACATTATAACAATTTATTATTTGAAATTTCTGTAGGGCTCCGTACGAGCTCATGCTATAAAAAATTAATGCTATATTACCGATGCAAATTAAAAATATTCATTTTTATAAGTTTTGCCACTACCAAAAGTGGAATTTTCAAAGATGGTTGCTTGAATCGGTCAGATGGTGCCAGTCGTAAGATTAGTTTATTTTCAACAGGCTTCTTACTTTATAATGAAAATTTCAATAATGGTGAATTGTCAATTTAATGTAATGTAATAATTACAACTTTCGTAACAATTTCAATCGTTAAAATAATTAATAACTTCACGATAATTTCTTCGTTCGTTGAGTCAGGCTATCTAACAAAAGTCATTGAACGATCAATAGGCATTCTTAAATCAAAATTAGAGGCTATATATTTTTCATTAATGCTCACGTACCGAATTTACCGTCACCAACATCGAAGCATTTTAAAATTATCTACAACGATATGTCGGTCACATGTCGTTGTTCATTTATTATATGATAATTATTCATCCTTCAATGAAACTGAAACATTTCTGTCAAAGAAAATCAAACAATTAAGCACATGTGGACTAAAGCTTCGCGAATATCAATTAAAAGCTTTTTCAGTAAGAAATTGCATGGGTTGTCTCATAAATATCAGTGTTTTAAATATTCGACAACTTGCTTTTGAAGAAAAACATAATAACTCAAACTAGCATACAAATAAAAGTAAAATATCATCCACAAAATTAACAAATTTTTGACTGAACCTTTGTGCTTTTAAGTAGTAGTGAACCTTACCCCGGCGTACCAGAAAATCTATCCCGACATGAAGGTGAGTATAGCAGTCAAATTTTGTACAAAATGTTAGACGCTTGTAAAATTTTTATATTCGCATGATTTCAATTGGAGCTTTTGTAGATGGAAATACAATATAATAAATTAGGTTTACCGCTAAAAATTATTGTTGGAAGTAACGAAAAAGAAAGTTCCTACAAAATTAAGCTTTACGTTTACGTTTAATATATAACAATATTCAAATTCTTCCACAAATTTTCCAAATCTAAATGCCAAACTTCTTCCAACCTATTTACAAATATTGCGCGCTTTGTTGATTGCCAAGAAATTACTGCAAATTGTACCACATTGATTTCAACCATAGTAATCCATTGCTTCAGCGTAAGCTCACGTTGACAATGTTAATTTCGACGCACTGTATTATAAATTCTCTGCTCAATATTTTTCTGAAATTCCTGAAATATTGGTTGAAATTTACCAAATATTTCAGTGAAATTTACCAAATACTTGACTAAAATGTACCAAATATTTCAGTGAAATTTACCAAATATTTCACAGAAATTTACCAAATATTTCATAGAAATTCATCGAATATTTCACTAAAATTAACCAAATATTTCACTGAAATTAACCAAATATTTATTGAAATTAACCAAATATTTCACTGAAATTTAATAAATATTTCACTGAAATTTGTCAACAATTGACCAAATATTAACCATGATTACCTTAGTAATCAATCATGGCATGAACGCTGTAGCCTGTAAACTTGTATTGCAGAGGCGCTGTTTGTGGCTAACAGTCGTGGCTGTTGTGGCCGGTGTTGTCACCACTGACACAAGCAACTACGGCGCACCTACAGGAGGTGGTGGAAACTTTGGTGGTGGAGGAGGAGGATCTTTCGGTGGTGGTGGTGGTGGATCCTTCGGTGGCGGTGGAGGATCTTTTGGAGGTGGTGGCAGTGGAGGAGGAGGATCTTTTGGAGGTGGTGGAGGATCTTTTGGAGGTGGAGGAAGTGGAGGAGGATCATTTGGAGGTGGTGGAACAAGTGGTGGAGGGAACACAGATGGCCCCGATGGTCCAGCCATCTACACCTTCAAGTGGGATGTTAATGACCCGCCGTCTAATAACTTCTACGGTCACGAGGAAGACCGTAACGGCGTCAACACGCAGGGCAGGTCAGTCACTAGAATTAAAAATAATTCCGTCGATTATAGAGTGAACTAATATCACATGAATAGATTTCAAACTGTCACTGCCTCAGCAGGCAATGTCAGGTTGAATCAACGTTGACACAACATAACTCACGACGTTGAAATAACGTTGACTATTAGTTTAGAATGAATATCTAAGCAACGTAACTTTTTCAACGCTTTCCTTTCAACGTTGTTTCAACGTTAAAATAGCGTTGACATCTGACGGTAAGATCGCGTATATATATATATGCGATTTTAAAGTCGGAATTTTACGTGATTTCAACGTTGAAACAAAGTCGAAATACGCGACGTTGAAATTTGAAAAATGACGTTGCTTCAATATTCATTTTAAACTAATATTCGCACATTATTTCAACTTCGTGAATTTTGTTGTTTCAACGTTGATTCAACATGACATTGCCTGTTGCTGCTGTCCCCACCCACACGCTGTGCCTGCCCAAAGTTTTATCCTTACGTTTGAGTGCATGAATATTAATCATTCACATATATACTTTTGATTGCTAGTATGCTATTTATTGTTTGGATTGCTTGTATCTTACAAGATTTTTTTAAGATATTCTTGTTACTGCAGTGAGATTAATGGAGGAATCCTTTTGAGTAAAAACTTGCACTTATTAATCTAGATCACAAGATATCAAAGAATATGTATGCATTGTTCAAGCCAGCATGCACGATTGCATTACACGCGTCTGTACGTCACTAGAGTTGCAGCATGTACACCAGCATTGATTCTTCATTAATATTGAATCACAAGCCCGGTCATTGTTTGCGAAAACGCTCATCGAGAATCTTCGGTTCCGAAAAGAATCAACAAAAATTTACAATTCCCCCATCGATTTTTCCTTTGCTTGACCAGAATTAAATTTAATTATCTATTGTCAATCTACACTATCACTGAACGCACGACGACAACGAAAAGTACCTATCGCAATGACTGGGGGTCATACTTTCAAAACTCGCTAAGTTAACGTAAGTACTTACGCTCTATTTTCTTGTCTATGATTGGTGGATTTTGCTTGAAAGGCCTTCAATGATTGGCTGATGAAATTACGATCTCTTAACTTTTTGAAAGTATGGGCCCTGGTTTGGTCAAATTTATTATGTGTATAATTAAGGCACACTTTTGCATGCACCCACTACAGATACTACGTTCGGTTACCAGACAGCCGTCTAATGAAGGTGGAATACTACGTGGATGACTGGGGCTACCACCCAACTGTTACCTTCGAGGGCACGGCTATATTCCCACCCAGTGGGGGACCTATTAATCCACGACCCACTCCAGGTCCTGGAAATCCGGGAACTCCAAGTCCATATCCAACGAATCGTCCACCTATACCAACTCAACCACCTGGGCTCTATGGCTTACCTGTTGGGCGATGAAGAGCCTATGGAGATCCACTATACCATTGAATTCACATTTATCAAACTTATAGGAAATTGAGATTTTTTTTAACTTGGCCCGAGCATACGGTAGCAACTGCCTATGACGAAAATTTCTTGTAATCTTTACTGTTAGTTTTACTATTTTTATTTGAACAGTTTGGAAAAAATTGAGTTGAGGGACAATACAAAATAGAGATGAGACCCCAGTGAACGCAGCAGCCTATGACTAATTCCCGCATCTTCTGTCTCCATATTTCATTACTTATTTTTAGCAAAATCCATTTCTACAAAGGAATTTGTAAATTAATTCTAGAATAATTTAATTAATTAATTAAATGATAATTTTTAATTGACAAATTCAAAGAATAAGGCAATATTAAACGTCCTGCACAACGAGCCACCAACAATTGACAATTGTCGAAATTGCCATTAGGCAATTTCGAGTCACACGCTTTTAAATGATAGCGAAAGCTTAGGCTGTTATATTGTTGATTATGATGCGTAGTTATAAATGTAAATATTTTCCGGAACCCTATATTCCTAATTATGTTTTCAACTGCAATTTATTTTACACTGTTCAAGTTTGCATAGCATCGAAATTTTCCGAAATATTTCCTACACTATTTTCATCACTATTTGCATCTTAAGCACACATAATATGACTACCACAACGTTAACAACTTTCACATGGAATGCTTTTGTGCTTTAGTGCTCCATTCTCCAGTGGCAAAAACTATTTCTATCAAAAATCTGATTGTGCATGCGCAATTTTGAACATTATCAGCTAATTTGATGTACGCTGATGTACAACAAAGCATGTTTGTCCCTGGCGAGCGTACAATATATCTATACCTACCATGTAATAGATGAACGTATCATTCCCATTAAATTCACACGATGAAATGATTTATTTTGTGCACTTTCACTACACATACGTATCACAATTGCACGTCATTCTTCTGTTTATTACGTGTAGAAAAAGTTTTTTTTTCGAGAATTAAACGTGAGCAGTCTCTATGGCAGTTCTAAAGTCAAAAATATTCTTTTGTTACGTGACGAGACTAAGAGTCTGTCTCTGTCACCTGTTACTTACGTGCTTAGTAACAATAACATGTTAGTTACGTGCTCAGTAACATGTTCATGTTAACAAGCACACATAGATTTAGCACTAACTGCAGTGCTAAATCTTGGTAACATGTACATGTTACCATGCACGTTCACTGCCACCTACCGTATAAATTGTGTATAAATTCATCAAATTTACACACGTACGTGCGATTAATGACCAGAGAATTCGTTGATTTAATTTTGTGCACATGTGTTAACAAGCATATTCTGCCATCTAATACAAAATTAATTGAATTGCCACCCATCACATGCCACATTTCACACATGTAGTCTCCGTGCATGAGCGGCAATGCCGTTACTATTTACTACATATACTAATAGCACATTGATAGTGTATTTAATAGTGTACTCCATACGCATATACAAGCCAACTATATTATACTTAAATATACCCATTTAATATATTGTACGGTACTTCAGTCCATCAAATATATCAAATATGGTTCTGCTCATGAGAGAAAACGTCGTTAACAGAAAATGTCTTAAGGATATATGCATCAGGGATTCCAAAGATTTTATTAGGCTTAATTGATTGCGATCAAAAAATTAAAGTAGAAAATAAGAAGTTAGCATTTTTCATTTTTGTAAGCACATTAAGAGACATTCGGATGCATGAAAAAAACCGTAAACATCACAAAAGATCATTCGTTGAAAGTCATAAAGAAACACGTTTAATCAACATGCGGAAAACTTAATTACAGATCAGAATTCCACATATGACAAGTAAGTTTATATGATGTTATAATAAAATATTTGGCATGGCATGAACAACATGCAAGACAGAATTGCAAAAAATAAGACGTTTGGTGAGATACATGTGCGAGACCAGACTTACATGCAAATTTACAATGCGTTAAACCAATTGTAAACAAAATAATAATATATAATAAAACTACAAACACGCTCAAATATAATTTGATAAACGGAATTTAATCTGTTAGTAGTTTACGGGTCACAAGGTCCCTTTTTTATAAAAAAATATATTTTGGATTCTATTAAGTAAACCTAAATACGATTAATTTAAATTAACTGGTGTTTAACATTTGTTAACTTGTTCGTGACGTGTAGCTAACCCATGTATTGCGCAGGTATTACGTGCAGTTACCAGACAGCCGTCTAATGAAGGTGGAATACTACGTGGATGACTGGGGCTTCCACCCCACCGTTACCTTCGAGGGCACAGCAGTGTACCCACCGCAAGGACCTGGAACCCAGAGACCTCCAGCAACCCAAGGTCCTATAAACACAACGCCGAGGCCTCCTTCAACCACGCAGAGGCCTATATTCACGACACAGCGTCCAGGATATACGACACAACGTCCAGGTACAACTTTTAGGCCTGGAACTACCACTAGACCTACCACTAGAACTACTACCAGAACGACCACAAGGAGACCGCCGACCGCTCCACCTGTATTGTATGGTCTACCAGTCGGCAAACGGTGACGAGGTTCCTATGAGTGAAGTGCAAGGATTCAACTGGTAATTCACGCGTCAATACTTGATAACTTTTTGTATTTGAATTGTGCATGGAAACTGTGCATGGAAGTAAAAATATGGTGAAGATAAGAAGGTATGAGTGAAGTCCAAGAACTCGTCTGGTTCAATACTCAATAACTCTTTTAGTTGAATCGCGCAGAGATTTCAAAGCAAAAATCTAGTAAGAAAATGCCAAATTGATCCATGAAATGCGGTGTTTTATAATAGAAGAACGGAACAGCTAGATAATGTTAAAAAAAATGTCCATAAAAATACAATTTCAACCTAGTATTCAAATTTTCCCGTGATTCGTCAGTTTTTTGAATAATAAAAATAAAAGCATGTCTTACTAGCAAAAAATAATTTACTTAAACACTTGTAGTCGGGCAGATGTAGTAGCCCAATGTAACCGCTGTTCTGAATAATAAATGGAAGAAAAAATGATTTGTTATTGCTCTAACGTATCAAAACATTTATGAGCGTTTGTAAGCAGTGACCACGCAAAAAAGTTTTGATATTACGACAGAAAACGACGAGCAATTTACTATTGTATTTACTTCACTAATTACTCTGTATTTACTCTACTGACGAAGGAGAGCACGAAGAAATCGTATGAAAACGAAGTTGAGAAATCGTATAAAAACGATTTCTCAACATTATCATCGGTCATAAATAGGATAAATTTGCTTCCTTGTACAACCTAATTCCGAAAATAGGAAGAATATTTTCATTTTTGATGCTTCAAGATAAACAGTGCCATGGTTATAATTTTTTAACGAGTCTGAAACTATTCTAACATATTCGACATATTAAACAGCTTAAATATTGAAATAAAAAAGGCAACGTAATAAGGTCTATCGATTCAGCTATGGATAAACATCGTTATTAATTAAAAAATCTATTTCATTCAATAATTGCGTATACGTAGACGATAAAAACTATTATATAAAATTATATACTATTACGGATGGAACGTTAAACGTCTAAAACACTTCAATGAAGTAATAACAAAATACTGACATTTCCTTGGATCCACTGAAATAAGGAATGCCACGTAAAACTGAATCCGCCCAAAAAAGGAGTGACAATAAAAATTGAAAACGCTAAAATAAGGAGTGCCAATAAAATTAAATACACAGCATGAAATAAAGGGTGATAATGGAAAATATAATCCGCCGAAATAAGGAGTGCCAACATAAATGAAATACACTGAAATGAAGAGTGATAAGGAAAAATATCATCCGCTAAAATAAGGAGTGCCAAGAAAAATTAAATACACTGAAATAAGGAGCGATAAGGAAAAATTTAATCCGCCGAAATAAGGAGTGCCAATAAAAATTAAAACACTAAAATAAGGAGTGATAATGCAAAATTGAATCCGCTGAAATAAGGTGGTGTGCCGATAAAATTAAATACACTGCATGAAATAAAGGGTGATAATTGAAAATAAAATCCGCCGAAATAAGGAGGGCCAACATAAATTAAATACACTGAAATACGGAGTGATAGATAAATTGCCTCCGCTGAAATAAGAGTGCCAAAAAATTAAATACACTGAAATAAGGAGCGATAATGAAAATTGAATCCGCCGAAATAAGGAGTGCCCAAAAAAATAAATACACTGAAATAAGGAGTAATAAGGAAAATTGCCTCCACCGATATAAGGAGTGCCCAATGAAATTAAATACACTGAAATAAGGAGTGTGATTGTTAAAAGCATTTCCTCTGAGGTTACAGACCACATAGTGGAGACCGGCGCCTATAGCCAAGCTAGGGTCAGGCTCTCGGTGAGTGCGTGTTTAGAGAGGAGACTCTCAACACTGTACAATAAAAGGGAGAATTGCTGCTGCTTACAACACGACTACTGAGCAATGTGTCAGGATTAGCTTACTTGAGAACTCTACGGTACAAACTAAGTGAGGAGTTGAACGTTGAGACCAAAAAACATCTTGGAACGTTGATGGTTATTTTGAAATTTAAAGGTAATTAAACGTATTAAAAACTTCTGACGACACGTTAGGAAGTTATCCCGAAAAATTAGCACGCCAAAATAAGTTAAAAGTTGGTTCATGTGTAAACAAATCCTAATAATCCTTCAGCGCGGAAATAAGGCTTAAAAATATTTAAATTAATGTCTGCAGCGGACATGCACTCAAAAATATAAAATGTCCTATATTATTCGGTAGAATTGTCATTGTTTTAGCACATATTCGAGTAGGAGGAACATTCGCTGTACGTGTGAGTAGCAGAAGTACCTCCAGCCAGACACCGCTCGCTGGCCTGCTCATCATTTAGCCTTCCAGACACTATATGATGTGAATAGCTGTCAAGTAAATACGATTTTGGTAACCCAACGAATAATATTATAATAATAAGCCACAGGTGTTCAGGTTTTTTTTCTTGTGGCCAACCCGGTCTGTGAAAGGTGGCATGAGAATGTTAGAAGAAGCTCTCGCTATTAGTATTCAAGAAGATAAGTCTGCCTCTATTCAAATTTTGAAAAGAAGTGTAAGAAATGATGTTCCAGTTGCTACTTCATGCAAGGTATTACCATGTTATCCATATAAACCATGTACATCATGGTTACTTGTGGCCCCAAACAATTGCAATTCTCTGTTGGAGTAGTTAAAACTGATGTAGTTCTAAAGCCACAACGAATGGTTCATATTGTTCAAATAGTGACTAAATAAATAGTAGTGCTAAGATTCTAAATGTAAAAAGTGTGTCACTATTTGAACAGTATGAACCACACAATTGCAATTCTCTGTTGGAGTAGTTAAAATTGATGTAGTTTTAAAACCCACACCGAGTGGTTAATATTGTTCTAATAGTGACACATTTTTTTTG